GTTACATATTAGGCCTGTATTGGAGATTCTATACTTAACAAGGTTGAAAACCATGATTCAAAGCTATCAAATCACAATGAGCACTTCAGTCATCAATGAATAGGTGATAAAGATATGAGGATAGAGAGAAGAAGGGGACATGAGACACCAAAATTCATTCTAGGAGACCCCACCCAGAGGCCACATCTCCTGTAAAGACCAGCTACCACCTCACAAAGTCCCTGTAGTCACTATGCGGGTCAGGTGCGTTGAGTGGACCACCCTAAGAACCTGGATGTCTCTCTCTTCTCTTTCAGATGTTCACCTCCACAATATTTGCTGTGATTGGATTCTTGGGTGCTGGATACTCATTTGTCATCTCAGCTGTCTCCATCAGCAAAGGCCCTAAATGTCTCATGGAAAATAGCACATGGGGCTACCCTTTCCACGAAGGGTAAAGTATACCCTGCAATATTCACTTGTTACCACAGGGGGCTTGGGTAGGCAAATGGCCCACTGGGAGAAATTGCATATGTGCTGTCATCTTCATTTGACAAGTCTCAGTCATATTGCTCCTTGGAGGTAGAGCTGGAATGGAGTGAAGTTGCACAATATCTCACCTTTAATTGCCCTTTTGACAGAGACAAGGAGAAATAATAAAAGAGGGCACCTCACACCTGGCTTGAGGGAAGGAGATAGGTGGCATCTCCACTCACGTTCAAAATGTATTAGCAGAAACATGAGACAACTAATAATATTAATAAACAGAGAGCAGTGGCTTCCATTGCAGATCTTATAATAGAAAACAGAATGATTACTTACTAACAGGGCTCAAAGGCTGTCCCTACCACCCAGAAAGTCTATAACTAAACAATTTTTTAAGATGCAAATTTATGGCAAATGACATTGGAAACATTGTAGATTCTTCATGAGAGTTAATAAAACTCATTAAAGTAACACTTGATATTATCATGGGACTTGTATCTTATAAAGAACTTTTTCCCACAACTTTATCATTTAATCTCCATCTCTGGAAGCACCCATGAGGCAGTTCACTCTGCCTTCATAAGTTTGACTTGCTCAAAATCACACCACTAGTTGGGGACGAAGGCAGGGCTCAATATCTGACTTTCAGTCTTAGTCTTCTTATATTACACATCTTCTGCCTCTAGGCTGCGCTGTCCAATACAGTAGCCAGTAACCTTGGGTAGCTATTTAAATTTAAATTCATTTAAATGAAATAAAGTTAAAAATTCCTTAGTCACATTAGCCATATTTCAGGCACTCGGTGGCCACACATGGTTAGTAGAGACTGTATTGAATATTGTAGACAAAGGACATTGTCATCATCATGGACAGGCCATTTAGATAGTGATGTGTGGACTCTAACCTCCACAGGGGCTGGGATCGTTTCTGTTTTGTTCATCAATGCAGCCCCTCCGCCTCACACAGACACTGACACATCTGGAGGGTCACGAAACATGGTTGTTGGGTCCGCTGCGCATGGAGCATAGGGCCATGCCTAGAAAACCAACAGGACACCAATTTATTAACTCAAACCCTTATTACTAATTTACAGTGAGAGTCTACCGAACCTCAGAGCAGGCTTCAGACGGAGGAGATGGCGGTACTGGTTCTGTTATGATCCGGTTTGTTCATAAGTGTTTCACATGAAATGTCAATGCCACCCTACTGTATAGTTAAGCAGGACTACAAGGCCTTAAGAGGCTCATATCACATGCAGCAATTCCCAAATTATTTTACTGGGAAAAGCCCTCTCCCCCTACAGAGGACTGTTGGGGCTACACTGCCGTGGGAGGGAAGCCTTGTCCTCCTGTTTAAT